GTTCAGGTAGGGGCGCAACTGGTGCACCAGGCGAACCTGGGCAAATGCCCCCCTGGTCTTTCCAGCTGAAAAACAGGCTAAATATGCGTTAGGGAAGAGAGCATCCAGTCTGACAGGGCAGAAGCTTGAAATTATCACTGCTTTCAGTCAGTTCGTTCTGTGAGGAAAAACTTATTCCAGAACAAGATTCCCTCCCGCAGAGGAGCTGCTGCTCCTCTTCGACGGGAAGGGAGCACTACGCGCAACAAGTTGTTCTTAAGGAACGGGAAGCACAAGGATGAACGTATACAACAGGTGAGGGGAAACGAAGGAGCCAAACCAGGCAAAAAAGGGGGTTCTTTTTTTTTGAAAACGAAGTAAGGAAATATTGCCGGGGATACAAGCGGAGAAATCAACTGTAGGAAGTCAACGTGCTGGACTTTCGCGGCGCGAGTGGGATCCACGCTTCTCTCTCGTGGTCCTTTTTCCTCTTTTTTTTCTCAGCTCACCGCGCGATCATTTACCTCAAGTCGGGCGCGGCGCGAGGCAACCGAACGGCCGCGCCACGTACGCCGGCTCGCGCGCTCTTCCTCTTCTTCTTCCTCCTCCTCCCCCTCCCCCCCCTCAACGGCCGTTGCCGAATGCCGCCTCAGCCACGCGCCCGCCAGAACGCGTCAGAGGCGGCCACGGGCTGCTCCCCTCGCGGCAGCCCCCCCGCTTCCCGCTCGATTCAATCCTTGCCGCCTCGCGCCTCAACGCCCGGCGCGCTCTTGCCTTCGTTTCGCTCACCTTTTAAATTTTCCGCCATCTTGAACATTTTTTTTTATTTCCCTCCACCCACCGAGGCCGCCAGAGAGTTTTCATCTCACAAGAAGGGGAGCTGGAGGCGGATCCGGGCAACCTCCGAAGCTTCGCCTTTTGAGGAACGGGCTCTCGGGCCAATGGGGAGCGCGGGGCCCCGCTTAGGCCCCACCCTCCTAAGGCCTTTCACGGGGGTTTCTTCGCTGACTCGCTTCGTTTCCTCCCGCCGGGCAGGAGGTTCTGGTTTTGCCGCTCGGCGCGAAGGAAAAGTAAAACTTTGGCACCGCCTCCCAGCGCTGTTCAAAGCTGAAGCGTGTGGTAAAGCTTGGCCTTTTCGAAACGTTGGTCTCTGAGTCGTTTCTCTTTTCTTGCTCGCACAGGAGGAGAGACGAAATAGAGATGGGGTGCGAAAGCGAATTATTCAAATCGACAGCTGCTTTTGTTTGAAAGTTGCCCTGGAGTACGAGGGTATCTAAAAGATGTGGAACAAACATGTATGCTATAAGGAAAGGGGGGGGGGTTGACGGATTATGTTCACGTTATTGATCCGTTTATGAGACAGTTTCTGAATGTATTTAAAATGCCAACCCTTGTTCCTGACTACATTTCCTTTTTGCCATACAGCCATGGAAAAACCATGAATTTAGAAGACTAACTCAAGACTTGTGGCGGGAGAAAGAAACATCTTGCAGCTAGAGACCCCACTTAATTTAATTAAATGTTTGTGCTGCTGAATTTCATTGGGGACTGTTAGGGAATAAATGTTATATAGCTAGTTGTGGTTGCCCACTCCCCCCCCTTCTTTACAATCATTAAATATTTTCTAACATCCATTTATTTTTAAAAGTTACATTTTTCTCTATAGTACTTGCCTCAGTTTCAGCCCAACTAATGAAAGGTACACATTGCTGAACAATACAATTTTCCCTAGTATGAACAGAGATCTAATCAAAATTATGTTTTGTGATGAAAGATAAAAGTTGTTTGATAGCAACTTGATTCCAGAAAGTTTTCTCAGCTAGCAAAATAATATTGTAGGAAAAAAGCAGCAAATAAAGTATGTGTAGAATAGAGAAACTTTTATACTATGCAGGTAATCTTCAACCTACGACTACAATTGAATCCAAAATTTCTGTTGCTAAGCGGGAAACTTGTTAAGTGAACTTTGCTCTGTTTTATAACCTTTCTTGCCACAGTTGTTAAGTGAATGACTAGTTGTTAAATTAGTGTACCACTAATTTGTTTAGTGAATCTGACTTCCCCATTGACTTTGTCAGAAGGTTGAAAGAGGTGATCACATGACCCTGGAACACTGCAACCGTCATAAATATGAACCAGTTGCCAAGCTTTTGAATTTTGATCATGTGACCATGGGGAAGCTGCAACAGTCATAGGTGTGAAAAAGTCATAGGTCACTTTTTCAATGCCTTTGTAACTTTGAACAGTCACTAAATGAAGTGCTGTAAGTCGACGACAATCTGTAAATGCACATTTCACATTCACATAGGGCTCCACTGAATCTTACATTTTATAACCCAAATCTGTTGGATTTTGAGCAGTTATCATTTTTTCCATGGAATATTGTTACAATTTCAAAGACAACGGGCAGAGTATATCTAACATCTTGAGCAATTTTTGATCAGGAAAATGTGTAACCTAACTCTTGGTATAGTACATTTATTATATTAGTATTACACATTAATATACTGGTATTTGGTACATCGTCGTTTAGCCCACCATAGCATGCTGCTGCATTTCCATTCACTTGTGTATTCAGATGAGCTGCATGTATTACACTAGTCTGAATATTTCCTAATGAACTATATAAGAAACAGCTTTTCAAGAAAGGCTTTGGGGACAAATAAGATCCTGCTATCATTAATGGTAGTGCATCAAACTGATTATGGATACATGAATTGATTTTTGTTTTTATCTTATTAATTCTGGAATCTGCTCAGAATCTCTGGAAATATGTAAATTGCAATTAATAAATAAAGAGCACTGCTCAAACCATTACCCATTAAATCTGGCATTTCCTATTTGTACCACTACTATTGCCCCTTTTGCCCTCAAATCAGAAATAAAGTTGTCTAAAGTAGTTTTATTCCATTTGAAGCAGTGGGTGGGTTTCAAAATTGTTTGAACCTACTCTGTAGGTGTGGCCTCCTTTGTGGGAGTGGCTTGCCGCCCATGTGACCGGATATGAAGATGCTGACGACACTTGTCAGAACCACCTTAAATTACCTCACACACAGCACTGGCATGCATAAGAATATGATATAAACTTGTTTTTTAAAAGGCATCTTCGGTTTGCGTTAAAACAACTTCAACACATGCAATGTTCTCATTGCACCAGAACATG